AAAAAGACACCAATGAAAGGAAAAATATCCTGTTTATGGATTGGAAGACTTAATATTGTTAAGATGTAAATCCTACCCCGAGTGATCTACAGATTCAATACAATCCCTATCAACACCCCATTTATATTTTCTGTGGAATAAAAAAAATCCATCCTAAAATTCATATTGGAAACCAAGGGAGCCAAAATAGCCAAAACAATCTTGAAAAAAGAACAAAGTTGGAGATTTCATACTAACCAATTTCAAAACTTACTACAAAGGTACAGTAAACAGTGTAGTACTGGCATAAAGACAGACATGCGGACCAGTGGAATAGAATAGAGAGCCCATAAACTCACACACATATGATCAAATGATTTTTTTTTCCTTTTTGTCTTTTTTCATGACCAGTAATGGGATCTCAACCCTCGGTGTCGCGCCCGTACCGCGACCAGCAACGGGATCGCAACCCTCAGTGTCACGCCCGCACCTCGCTCAACCAGTGAGCGGACGGGTCTCTATATGGGATCTGAACCCTCAGTGGGAGCGCCACCGCACTCCCAAGCACTGCACTCTACCGAGTGCGCCACCGGGCCAGCCCATGATCAAATGATTTTTTGACAAGTGTACCAAGGCCATTCAATGGGGGAAAAGACGGTCTTTTCAACAAACCATGTTGGGAAAACCGTATATCTGCATGCAAAAATGAGACCCTTACCTTACACTGTGTACCTAAATTAACTCAAAATGGACCAAAAACCTAAACGTAAATGCTCTAAATATAAAACTCTTAGAAGAAAACACAGGGGAAAAGCTTTATGACATTTGATTTGGCAATAATCTTTTGTACGTGACACCAACAGCATGGACAACAAAAGGAAAAAAAATAGAAAATTTGGACTAAATCAAAATTTAAAACTTTTGTGCATCAAAGGACACTCTAACAGAGTGAAAAGGCAACAATGGGAGAAAATATTTGCAAATTATATATCTGGAGAGGGGTTAATATTCAGAATATATAATGAACTCCTACAACTCAGCAATAGCAAAAATGAAACAATCCAGGTAAAAAATGGACAAAGGACTTGAATAGATGTTTCTCTAAGAAGATATACAAACAGCCAATAAGTACATGAAATGATACTGGACATCATTAATTATTAGGGAAATGCAAATTAAAGCCATAATGAGATGCCATTTCACACCCATTAGAATGGCCCTTATATATTAAAACAAACAAACAAACAAACAAAACAGAAAAGAACAAGTGTTGCGAAGGATGTGGAGAAATTGGAACCCTTGTGCACTTCTAGTGGAAATGTAAAATTGTACAACTCCTATGGAAAACAGTATTAAACACAGAATAAAAATAGAATTAGTGTATGATCAAGCAATTCTACTTGTTGGGGATATATACCCAAAAGAATTGAAAGCAGGGTCTTCAATAGATATTTGTACACCCATGTTCATAGCAGCATTATTTACAGTAGCCAAAAGGTAAAAGCAACTCAAATGCCCATCAATAAATGAATGGTACATACGGACAATGTAATATTATTCAGCCTTAAAAAGGAAAAAATTCTGACATATCCTACAACGTGCATGAACCGTGAACACATTATGCTATGTGAAATAAGCCAGTCACAAAAAGACAAATATTATATGACTTATAAGAGGTACCTAGAATAGTTAAAATCATAGAGACAGAAAGTAGAATGACAGGGGCTGGTGACAAAGGTGAATGAGGAGTTAGTGTTCAATGGCTACAGAGTTCCAGTTTTGCAAGATGAAAAAAATTCTGGAGATGGAGGTGGTGATGGTTGCACAACAGTGTGAATGTAGTTAATGCCATTCAACCATACACTTAAAAATAGCTCATTTTTATGAAAATCCCTACCCCTATCTCCCTGAGTTCCTGGAAAAAATGGGACCCATAAAAGGATAATCAACAACGTATTCTGAGGAAAGATGGGTCAAATGATTTGAAACTAAAATGATGATGATGATGATGATTATGATAGTGATATACCAGCAGCAACATCAATAACATTCAGAGAGAAAATTTTTAATAGACACTGTAATAGATTTTATTGCTCTATATTAATTATGTTTATCTCGTCATGGTAACAATAACATAATAAATATTTTTCAAGAAGAGGAAAAAATAGCTAATTTTATGTTATGTATAATTTACTGAAGTTTAAAAAATAATAAAAAAAAGAAATTAAGTGGTAAAATTAATATCATTCTTACAATTGTGACAGCTCCTTCAGATCCTTAAATACATTTGGTGGAAGATTTTCAATCTTGTTACTTCCTAAATCCCTAGGGAAATAATTGTAAACATGTCATATTATTTTCTTAAGACTTTACTCATAGTTCTGAAATTCATTAGGAAACCATTATACAACTTTTCAATAATGCCATTGGTGAGTTATATCGATTCCCAGAAGTCTAAAAGTTTTAAAAAAGGTAGTGAAATGTAAAAATGTAAAAATATTTTATCCTATCTCATTACTCTCTTGTAGACAAATACATGCTGGTATTTGATCTGGTATTAATCGATCCAATTTTCTAATTCAATTAACATATGTGTTGTGCACCTTCTTCCTTTCTCTTCCTTTCTTTTATCCTTCTGTGTTAGAGTAGGAATATCGTTTGCAGCCTTAATTTTTTCCTTTGCTTGCATTTATAATGATTATCTAATGGAAGTGTATTATTTCTTTTCTTTCTTTTTTTTTTTTTT